TTATTAAATGTCTTTTGTCTTTCTAGAATTTCTCATTATCATCGTGAATGCAGAAGAGATTTTAGTCATTACGTTCACTGAGACAGCAGAATTAACTCTTAGGCGGATCGTTTTCACAACTATACATTTGACGATTTTATTTTATATATATATTACTTTCAATCTATTAGAATTATTAATGAAGGAAAGAAACTTCTAAGCGACTCCTGTCTTTTGCTACGGATGCAGACAATTGTTATTTTGTATAAAGATTCGCAGATTGCCGACGACACGATTCTACTCACCCGAAAGGACTCGAATATGAGCATACACATGCCAAGTCCGTTCGTCATCGTAACCACCAGAACAACAGGTCCGTAAATCTCTTCTATAGCGTTCTGACACTCCATCAACGTAGCGTGCCTTTGGATGCACTTCCGCAAAACTCGTCCATGGGTTTCCATATCATTCGATCGCTTTGGCAATTCCTCCAGTTCGATGGTCATCGCCCGGAACACGGAGCATATGCGAAACGCGCACATAGTGAAGAACCCGTCCACCCCGGAAGTTATGATGGGGAACGAGAAAGAAACGAGCACCTCGAGTACATAATGGGCCGCAAAACTTATGGTGGTCTCGGCCGGCCACGGATATTTCGTGGGAAGCGGGCTCGAACGTTTTCCGTTGCGAAATGTTATCGTTATCAACGGTTTGGTCGTGTACAAGATTGCGGTGAAGAACAGACAGACGAATTGGTAGTATGCTAAACGATAACAGGGGAGAAGGTATTGAAAGACTGGCGAACCGGAGGTTTGTTGCATCGTTGTCTCCTCAAACATTCTTGCGAGTGTGTTGTATATTTCCACTAGCTTTTTGCGACAAAAGACGAATCGCAGGATCTGAAAAATTTAAGTCGATTGTGTAATGATAATTCTACGACACAATCCAACATTATCAAAACCGGGGATGATGGAGAGACTTCTTATGAATCTCTGTTGAACGCATCAGAATGTATGAAGGAGAAATGTTACTCTTTTATTCGAACATTAAAGTTGCTGAAATCGTATAGACTCTTTCACAGAAAAGCGAGAAATAAATTTTTAAAAATAAATGAAGAAAGAAATTTTTACGTTAGCTAGTTTTAGAACACGGTATGTTTATTGTTAATTTCGTAAAAAAAGAGGGGGATGCTGCTTGATTTTTACGATTTCAATTTATACAAATCGAATGTATCAGATTTTAGAATAAAAGAAATTCTACCATTGGAAATAAAGGTTTGAAAAGTGGTTCCTACGATAATAATGTTGATAACGACGATAACATTGCACAAACATATAAAAGTTCACTAGATTTTGCAAAATGTCAATATTGGTATCCCGCAAACTTTCGAGGGATTTGCTGTTTAATCCATCGAAAATCCGGACGACAGCAAATATTTTGTTAATTATATAAATTTAGAAAACGAACGTACCTTCACTGATATGTTGAAACAACTACTAAACAGGCTGCAACACACGGTGATCGCACTGATGTTCGCAATATGAAGACGAAGAAAGTTTACTAAGCCACAGGAAACAAGGCTGTACGACAGCAGCACTAAAATTGACAGGTATCTGACGATGCTCTGCTGGTACGGGTACAGTCCATAAATCGTGAGAAGACGTTTCACAAGATTAGTATACTTTCCGTAGACTAGCATTTCCTTCGACATCGTTGAAGACGATCGAAAATCTTATCGGTATCGATGTAGAACCACCTGCGATCTTTTCTAAAATGGGTCTAATGCTTGTCCGGTCATAAGGATGGGTACCCCCCTCGGTCTAGGACCGCAATTACCGGTCGATCGATCATCGTTCAACCAGCTCTTCACCCTTCAACTTCGTCGAATTGCCCGAAGAAAATCAGAGACGTTGAAGAATTCATCGCACTCGGCATGCTCGGCTCCTTCTTAAATTAGACGTTGCAAGACGTTCGCGACGTTTAAGAGGATCTTGGACAGTAAATCGGCTCATAAGATTTTCAACAAGCAGGTAGATATCTTGTTAAAGATATTGCACGGTACCGAACAAGCAATTTATGGAAACGTGCTGAGTCGTGAATAGTGAAGAAGTTAGAAGAGCTGAAGGACAGTTCTGTATAGGAGATGGCAAGTGTTACGTTAGTGTTCTAGTGACTAAAATTGTGAAACATAACGAAAATTATGGGAATGAGGATTTCATGTAGTACCTATTTATGTTAGACAGTATTGCATGTGAAACGATGCGATTTTTTACATTTATTCTTCAAGAGAATGCGAAAGATTGATTTTTCGTTCACTCTAAACATAATAATGTCTGTGCTAGAAAAAACTTAGTACGACATGATAAGGTGTTAAGAATGTTAAAGGTCTCCGTCTTGATGTTTTCTTACAGTGCTTTATTTGCATTTATTTATTAATAACTACTGTGTGATACGTTCCGACACATTATACATTATTTCTTTCACATGAAGTGATTTACAAATAACACCATTTCTAGGAAAGAAAACCGTGTCCACCTTGAGACTAAGCATTGGCAAGAATGTTCATTGCTTTCAGAGTTACAATATTTCGAGTCAATACGTTTAGTAATAATAAATAAAAGAAATTAAGATTACTTTAGCGCAACGCTACGAAAGCAGACAGATATGATAGCATTTTCTTATTTTTTTTTTTACATAGAAATACGCGTACAGAGTATCTCGTAATATAAAGTAACGAGGATATCTTTTATTCGCCTGAGAAACCCAACTTGTATTGCACTTATGTAGTCGTAACATACTTAAATCTTAAAGCAACTTTTCGTATGTCAGTCTTTGTAATTCCGTCTGGCCACGTACTTTTCTTTTCATATTGGATTTGTCTCTTTCAGAATAAAAGTCTGATTCATTTCGCGGATTATCATATTTCGAATTTCATGATTGTTCGAATAATTGCCACGAGATACACTGCATCATTACAAATATACAGACACACACTGTGTACCACATATTCGTCGTGGATAGTTTTTCACTCTTAAATACGTATGTATATTATATACATAGGCACTAACATGACAAATTATTGCTAAATTAACCGTAAAAATTCAATGTCTTCATTTACAATATTCGCATTTTGTCGATTAACATTAAGGAAGATAATGGTAACAAAAGAGAAATCAGACGCACTAATAACAAATTATGATGCAACTCAGTGTCTCGCAAATGTTGCTAATTTGAATAGTCGACTTATTAATCTCCAAGCATATTAAAAAAAATTCGCATTCTATTCTTATATCAATTTTTCGACGTCACCCCTAGCGATGTTACAGCTAAAATCAGATTTACATATTTCATTTGATACGTTAAAAAACGGAAACACGATCGATGTTGACTCTTTAAGGCTAGAGGAAGAAAAGGAAGAAAAGGATATCTGCTTTTCAATGTTTCATCATTCGGTGAATGTGTACTTTTCTTATATCTTTAACGATCTGTTATGGCAGTTATTATCATTTATGATATGCCTGCACTACTTCAACTATATTACATCACCCCCAAAGTTCGACTATGAAGAAGAAAACATTTTTGTTATCTTTACCTTTAAAAAACTTCTCGTATATTATGAGAACATATTTTGAAAGACGACTTTTCCAAAGGATTGTTTAAATATGTTTCTCGTCTCTTAACATTGTATAAGTAGTTTTACAAGTGCATTTACATCAGTTACAAGCAAATTAATAGTCTATATTACACAGAGAAATGTGCAGACTTTAAACTTCACAGTTCATTCTTATTCTTGAGATACAATGTATCTACATTTTGACGATTCACCTTCCTATTAGTCGAATACCATTTCACTGAAAGTATTAAGTAAAACGTCTAAAATATATAAAATCAAACAATTCACAGAACGCAAAAGACAACACGAGAAATTTATTACAAGAAAGAGAATGTTCGACTTAAGTACCGATTTATGTCTCTTGACCATCCCACTTTGTCAAATCTTAGGACGTAGTATATATTAAAATATTCCTTCCCATTCTGAAACTATTACAAAACTATGAAGAAATTACTAAAATTATACACTGCGACTTCTGAGCGAGCAGGCAAGGTGAAGGAAAAACTAAACGGGCATGGATACTTCCTTTCTCATGATTTTCCTAACACTCTAGATCAGAGCTGGGCAGCTGACTACTCTTATTTTTACTGGAGACCCACACTTTTTCCTAATTATCTATATAATAAGATGGGTCTGTCCTGCTAATTAAGCTGCAAATCTCTATGCATATTTCCATTTTTACACATAATATTATGAAAATAAATGCATGAAGATGTGCAGTCTATTAATGACTGCATTACTTTCTGATGTTTGCACACTCTTATCATACAGTTATAACCCAAAGTAGTAGCCTGTATAAATTTGATATCGTGGGCTGCCTGCATGAGCCATTTCGCGAACGTGGCTTATATTATAGAGCCAAACTATGAGAAAAATTGAGCAATTGCTTATAAGCAATTAGTTGACCCAACTTTGATCTACATAAGTTATTAGTCAATCATTTATGGCTAGATCACTTCTGCAATAATCGTCTCTTTTACAAATTTTAAGAGAACATATACTTCCCATAGGGACCAATTAGTTTTTTTAGTACAAATTCTTGTGAAACAAGAGAAAAAAGAACAGAGTGAAGAGAAAGGAAGGAAGAGAAAAAAAAGAATATACAAAGTCAATTAGGCCTCCTGCATCTTGATACTAAATTCAATAATAAATAATTAATATATTATAGGAAAAATTGTATATATCACTTTCCTAAAATGGCAAATAGTTTGCAAACGGAGTAAATGAGTATAACGGTTACGAACAAATTAGGATGTTTATATATGGCACAAACAAAATAACTATAGTCCATGATCGTACTATAAATGGAAAAATGAGTACTGTTCTTTGATTACTGTTCCATATCAAATTCTATGGAGTACCAATACTATTTCATCAGAATTTGTTTTCCCCTGTGAATGATTGATTCATTTCAAGTGCATCTAATGCATATGAATGTCATGATGTGATAAATATAAGTGTAATGCACAATGTCAAAGAATTGCAGAAGTAATATAGTATATATATCATAACATTCCTTTCTACTTTATTATTTTTAATCTACAATAATGCTTTCAAAAGAGCAACAGAGAGAATCTTTCTTACTGAACAATTCTCAAAGTTGAAGGTGATTACGAACTGATTTCGCTAGTAAACTTTCTTAAAAGCATTATTGTACATATATTCTAGCACCTTATTTGAATTAGAAAGCTTTCATAATGATGTACAGTATTTTCCCCTTGCGATTTGAGATGATGACTCTCTTCTACAAGCATTCGCAAAATATTGGGAAGCTATCGCTTTTCACTCGTCATCGCTACCCTTTCTTTTATGAAGATCGGAAGCAACTTGTAAATAAAAGAAATTATGGCGAAACAATGTAGGTTTCCCTCTGTAGCCTCACGCACAGTCATATTAGTATTCATATTTACTACTTTTTCCCTTTCTATTTCCAGCATCGTGAGTCGTCAGCCAATGAAAGCAAAGAAAAAATAACATCCACTGCTCTCGGAAGTCTCACCGTGGGTCTCGAATAGGATACTACAGAGGAAAAGCTGTCTTCAACCGCGTCACTTGAAGCGAGGGACATAATTGCACGGAGTTAGTACTGTTTTTCTTCACTACTGCTTTCTTTACGAAATATTTCAAACGTGCACGAATATATTTCTATAGAAGCAAAATTAGTCTTCCTGTAACCAAACGTAACAACTTCCTTTTTATAAAATTACTAACACTATAACAAATTCTTTACTCATTTAAAGATTTTTTGTTTTGTTTTTTGTTTTGATTCTATTAAGTGAAGTAGCAATAGTATGTTGACGCATACTTAATAATGAATTTATATAAATATGGAACACTGATTATACAATTGGTATATAATTCATTGTAAAAAATAAGTTTCTAAACATTACTGTCTCTCAGATTATGAAATCCTTGGCTTTCTTTACCGTCATGTAAAATGTTCTGGTTTCTTTGGCAACTCCACAGCAAGAGGAATAACACCTGCAATTACTAATTTAAAATCAGAATCAACTTGTTTTAAAAAAATGAATACGGTTCAAACAAGTTTCCTTTCTTCGCATGTTTTATATAAAATAATATTAATACTGAAATATGATATTGAAATCGGGGAAAATGTACCTGTTTGCTGTCGCAACGAAGGTACAATGAAGTTCTTCATTGTAATACACAATTTTTATTTCGTGAAGCTAAACCAGCTCTAGATAAATCACGCTCTATTTCGTCATCATCCTCTATACTGTAACAAAACAGGAATTAAAATAAATCTCTTCATTTAAGGTAAAAATAGTTTGTCTAATGACCAATAGATTTTATTTTCGGCATTATCGATAATAGAAAAGTGAAGAGATATTTATATCCTTGAAGTAGAAGAAATCGATATTCTACTATCCACATGAGCATTATAAAATAATATATACTTACGCTCTTTCTTGCGTATCGAGATGATGAACTAACTCATCTCTTTTGTTTACGATAGACACTAATTCCTCTAGAAGTAAATTTTCACGCATTTTTTGTTCGGATGTCTTTCTGGAATCTTCTACCGCAAGAATACTTCTTAGTTCACGATTTAGAAGTTTGAATCGACGTTCTAAATCATCTTCTTTCTCTCTGAAGTAATGAAAATTGCAACACCAAATTAACTCATGTTACTAAAACATTATCAGTGAAACGGATAAAATTATAACAACTTACAATATATTCAGTTGCATTTGTCTTCTTAGAAGCGCATTCTTTTTATTGACAAGAGTAAACCACAGAGACATCAGTCTTTCAGTTTCTTCTTCATTGTCACTTTCCATGGCAGCACGAAGCTGTTTTTCAAGTTTGCCTGCTTGAATATCTATTTGAGTTTGTTCGCGTTCTAACGCTTCTAATTCATTTTGTATGTACGATGTCATGTCTTTCCCCAACTATATTCACAAAATTATTATAATTACCATATTCAATTCAGAATTCTTATTTTGATAAATAAATGTAACACGTACTCCTCTTAGCGTATATGATGTACCATCAGGACTAGTTTTGTCTGGTGAAATTCTCTCTATTATTTTCGAAAATGAGTACAGAGGAGAACCAGTTTTCTTGTCGCCATCAATTACATTTGGAGTTCCCAGGATATTTCCATTGTACTCAGACTAAAATGTTTAATAATAAGCAATTAATATAAACGCTCCAATTTACAAAAATCGCATTTCAATATTTGTATTTATATATAGTTTTATATATATTTATATATAGATCTTACAGAAATTAGATGTTTCGCACTCACTTTTGTACTAAATCTATCGCTAGGAGTAGATGGTGTGATGCTTCGTCTAGGACTGTTATTTTGATCATCTATCGATCGTCTGTCACTGTTATTGTCATCGATCATTTGATTCGATGATACATTAACATCCATTTTCACTTCTGCTATCAAGCGTCTTGCTCTCTCGCGTAATTGCTGTTGCCTTTCGTCGTCATTTTGACTCTAAAAATTATAAAGTACCATTTTCTTCAGGCGCACACGCTAATGCAAACAATATAAAATAATAAATATTTCGTGAAGATACACTCATGTGTACATTCATTTTATACAGAAAATATAAAATTGAGAAAATAAAACCTCGATAGGACTAGCGGCGGCAGAAACAAGACCAGCTGATTTTGTCTGATTCCTGGCCTGTTCTAACAGTTGTCTTGCACGTTCTCTTAATTCATCATGCCGACTGACTAATGGCTAATATTAAAAAATGGCAAATTAGTTGCAAGCAATAAATAACTTAAAAAGTGTACAAAGACTAATTACATGTTGAGAACGTTGCTCTCTGTGAGGTGATGATACACTCTGATATTCAGTAATATCACGACTTCCCTTGTCAGTTGCATCCTATAAAAAGATGCGTTTACTACAATTATTTCAATATTACTTGCTATATTAAAATTCACAGAAGAAATCAATCATCTTTTTTAAGTTTTATATAGGATAAGAATATCAAATATCCATAAATAAGTGATTCAAGACTCGATGTAAAAAAAATGAATAAAGAAATCAAATACAATAGTGCCCAGAAAAAGCAACAATACAATTACAATTACAAGTTACAATTACTAACATGCATATTAAATAGAAGAAACATAACAAAGCTGTAAAATTAGTAAATTGTATGAAAAGAACAACGTTAAAATTTAAAAATAATATGAATGAGTTCATACAATATCCTGTATATTAGTAATTGATAATATATAAGGTTGTTAGCACATGTAATGATTTATATTAGATTGACTATTCACAAATAAGTATGTTTTCTTATATTTCTTCTACCACATACAAATTAGTGTGAATTCTAATCATTTACACCGTGTATTTCACAATGTGTTGATGCATCATGTGCACAT